AGTAATAAAGAGAGTTACTGTTAAAGAAATGTACATTTTCTAGAGAAAAATCATGGAGGGAGTGCAAAGTGATGGGATGTGCTGCCTGTTTAGAGAATGACTATAGAGAAGAAGAAAGGCACTATTTCCTCTGATACACGTAGAAGAAAAGAAGGCATAGCTCAAGATACAGTCATACTGGGGTAAAGGAGAAGAAAGTGGGGGAGCTTAAATTTAAGACCCTTGATTTCTTTTAGGGAGAAGTCTTCTGCTGAGCATGAGGAGAATGAATCTTTAAATTCAATGCAATTTCAATCCACATATGAACAATGTGTGTGTGTGTGTGTGTGTATATATACGTGCGTGCACGTGTACATGAAATCTGTAAAGCTGACTTTAAAATTTATCTATGAGATCAAAGGGCTAAAATAGTTGGCAACCCTGGAGAAGTATCACAAGGAGGGTGACTTGCCCTATCACTTACACTGATTAGAAAACTAGGGCAGCAGGGCAGAATGGCAGCAGGGCAGAACTGGACAAGTAGGGAAGCCAGAAAGATTCATGTATATGTGGAAACCTGCTTTATGAAAGAGATGGCATTATGCAACATAAGGATGGACCATTCAATAAATGACACAGGGTCAGCTAGTCATCCATATGGATCTCTACTTCATATCATACTCAAAAATTCAGTTATAGATGGGTTACAGATTTAATGTGGAAGGTGAAACTAGACACATTTTAGAAGAATATATAGAAGAATATCTTTCTCATATTTGGGTAAAGAAGAGTTTATTAAACAAGATGCAAAAAAGCACAAAACATAAAAAAGGCTGATACATTTAACTACAGTCATAGGCTGCATAATGATGTTTCAGTCAATGACACACTGCATGTATGACAGTGGTCCCATAATATTATAACATCGTATATTTACTGTACCTTTTTATCTTTAGGTATATTTAGATACACAAATACCTACCACTGTGTTACAATTGCCTACAGTATTCAGAACCATAACAGGCCTTTCAAGTTTGTAGCTTAGGAACAATAGGCTATACCATAGAGGAGAATGTAGGTGTGTACTAGTCTATGTTGTCTAGGTTTTTAGAAATATACTCTGTGCCAGGCATGGTGGCTCATGCCCATAATCCCAACACTTTGGGAGAGGCAGGCAGATCACCTGTGATCAGGAGTTTGAGACAAGCCTGGTCAACATGGTGAAAGGCTTTCCCTACTGAAAATACAAAAATTAGCTGGGCGTAGTGATAGGTGCCTGTAATTCCAGCTACTTGGGAGGCTGAGGCAGGCAAATCGCTTGAACCTGGGAGGTGGAGATTGCAGTGAGCCAAGATCATGCCACTGCACTCCATCCTGGGTGACAGAGCAAGACTCTATCTCAAAAAAAAAAAAAAAAAAAAAAAAAACTATCACTTACACTGATTAGAAAACTAGGGCTATATACACTATGATGCATATACAATAATGAAATCACCTAACGACACATTTCTCGGGATGTATCATCGTTGTTAAGCAATGCGTGACTGCACATTAAATTTGGGAATTTCTATTTATCAAAGTACACCAAAAATACAGTGAAGAAACAAGCCTCAAACTGAGAAATGTATCTGTAATGCAACCAACAAAAGATTAGTATTTAACATATATGAAAAGAATAAGAGGAAGTGGCTGTGGTTTGGAACTTGAAAGAATATAGAATATTTAGAACAGTGATTTTAGGGCAGGAGAGCCTATTGACTAGAGATAACACGAGGATTGGCCTGAGTTATTGAAGGCCTAATTGAATTAGAACAAATGGCTCAGCTTTGGGTGTGGTACAGAGAAGCATTAGGCACATAGAACAGAGTAATTGACAGGCGAGGGAACCCAGATGGGAGAAGGGAAAGTGGAAAGACAGTGCAGACTCTCAATAAGGTACAAGATAAAGAAAACTATTTTGAACACATTTTTACACTGATTACCTGAGGTGGTTGATCTCAGGCTCCTGAACAGAGAAGCTTGGCATCCGTGTTCAGGTTCAGTATGAATGAACTGGTGGGAAGGGGAAGGAAGGGCAGTTATCTTTGGAGTGGGGAGTAGATGTTAAAGTCTTGGATTCTGGAGCAGCAAAGCTGTGAGTGGAGGCATGATTCCCAAGTGTGACTGGGAAAAAATGGAAAGATGAACTGACGGACACTAGGAGGTCTGGCCACTGTCAAGGGAGGACAGTGAATGAGAGGAGTCACCAGTGTGGAAGCAGAAGGTGGTGAACTAGGAGCAGGGCTGGTGTTGTCATCACCATGACTTGTTTAGGGCCACACAACCATGGGGCTTACAATGCTGAATCCAAGCGGTCCTCCTTCACTCCAGGGTATCAAAAGCAAATGTATTGCCCCAGTCTGGGGCTGGCAGGTTGGAAGTGGTGATGAAGGAAGGCTTCTGCAGGAGCTCAGAGGACAGACAGGGCTACAGGAGGCAGCAGCAGAAAAGGAGCTGGCACTGCCCTCTGGAACATAAGGCTCTTCGTTTCTACATATATAATCAGCCTCACCGAGTACATGGCCACCTTGGTCTTCTTTTCTTGGTCTTAATGTTCTTTATGACCAGAGCCCACTTGAGAAGGAAGGGAATAGAGGGACACCCAATCTCTGACATCTGTTCCCAAATTAATATGTTGTAGGCAGTCTTTATCACTTTAATTTCTATTGCCTTACCTAAAAACAATGATGGAACTTAGGTCACAGGTTCGTTTCTAGAAGGACACATGTTTTCTAAAGGGGACAGGTTTTGAGTAAGGAGAGAAGTGAATGTCTTCAAGATCTATATGAAATGAGCAGAAAGCACAGCAGTATCTCTGTGTCATAATGTCATCAGGGGCTGCCCCACCTATCTTGAAATTACGGACCCAAGGCATATTTTTAATGAGGCCACACCACCCAGAGGCCCATCCACAGTGCAGGCTTTATTATGTAAGTCAGTTAAGTGCTGGGATGAGAAAGATGTCACATCAGTTTTAGAACCAAATAGCTTAGCCAAACTTGGCAATGGTTGGACTGTCTCATAATATTATACCCCACGCAGTCTGTTAGGGGAATCAAAAGAAAGTTGAAGGATACAAGAGAAAAGAGGAACTCTGCGATGAAGCAATGCCTCCTTGTGTGCGTGCTATACTGTGCAGCCAGTGAGTAGAAAACACAGGCTTTGCAACAAGACAGTCATAGTTTGGCTTTTCCTGGCTGTGCACATCTCCCCACCTCTCCTAGCCTCAGTTCCTTCCCTTGTCTTTGCAAGAAGAGAAAATTGTGGCTACCTTGTGTCTACCTTATTTTCAAGGCATCTAGTACTGTCCATGCACATAAATCACCCCTCAACATTTGAAATTATTTTAGCTATACTACAATTTTGATTTAAAAATTTCTAACTAATTTCTGCCCAGATGTGGAGATAATTTGTTCCTTGCTAAGAACACATTTCCTGAGACTACAGCTAGGAATACCTCACATTTCTTATAATAAATAACTTGCATTAAGATGCAGTTGACTTTTTCAGCAGGGGTCGTGATTAAACATGAAATGTAAGCAGAATTTTGCAAAAACAGTCCCATGAAATACCCAGAAAAGTTCATTAGCCTCATTTGGTTTTATGACTTCTGACTGGTTCCTAGAATTTTACTCCTAGCTGTCTTTCTAAGAAATTTGCAGGACTGCTGAAATGTATAGTCCTGGTAAGTTTTCTCAATTAGAATTGGCCTCAGCATTGGAAAAGCATCGGTATTCAGAAGAGAATCCCTATTGTGGCATGTAGAAGCTCAGAGCTTCAGCACCTTTTCGGACAGAGGGAGTATGCGAGCTCTAACACCATGAGCTAACCACATCTGAGATGGGAGGATGTCCCATGTGGGTGGTACTGTCATGGGTAGTAGAGTTCTTCTGGAATGAATGACAGCAGTCATGACTGCTTGCTCCACCTGTTCGCTGGCTTCTAGATATGGGGCAGCCAGACTGTGTACCTAGGTATTGTCCTCCTCTTCTCATCTTCACTCGTCTCATCCCAAACCTGGAAGCTGCTGAAAGGTTTCTCACAAAGGCTGTGTGGATGCTTTCCGGAGATGGGTCTTGCCCACTCTAATCAATTCCTTTTCTTTTCTAAACATTTTGCTAACTCACTCAGCTGTTGGGTTTAACTGACCATTGAGAATGGTCTCTGGCTGAGGCCTGAGGGGCATCTACCCAGAGTGGGTGATCCACGGCACTGGCTTCAGTGAGACACTTTGTGAATAAAAATACTCCATACAGAGGTTAAACATCACTGGCTTTTAGTCTTAGCTCCTCATTTGCTAATCAAATGAACCTGAGTTTCCTCATCTGTAAGATGAGGGTAATAATTGTACCTCTCTCATCAGGACAGTTGCAAAGGTCACATGAGTTTATATGCATGAAGATCTAGCTCCCTGCTTATTAAATGTTAGCTCATGTGATTTTGTTCGCCCTAACAGAGGGGCTCTGATTGTAGCACATTTGTAGGTCATTTTGCTCTGATTTTAGAAACACTTAAGTAGCTACAGATGCTTCCAGGATTTTTTGAGTCCATTTCTCCATTTTCTACCCGTACAGATGACTGTATCAGCCTGGACCCTCTGTCATTAAAGCTTTTGACATGAAGCACATCAGTGGTTCACGGCTTACAAGCAACATGAAACCCCAAACCTAAGAAGATCAAGCTGAAGCATTTTCCAGAAGGGGACCAATTTTGTCACTTCAATTAATTTGGTTGAGGCAGCCAGAGCATTTGGATGAGCTCCAAAAGGAAATGATGCTAAAACTCTGCTACACACACATTATTAACTTCAAGGCAGTAAAAGCAGTGTCTTAGTTACTTAGGAAAGGAAGCTACTGGAGCCAATGGAGCCTGAGGAGAGCCGTCAGCTCGGCCAGAAACAGAAAATGTTGCGTGAGTTGAGAAAATGTTGTATGATAAGAAAATGACTGAGAATGTGGAGAGAGCTGGCCACGATTACCTACCAATTCCTTCTTCTTCATGCACTCCATGAGGATGATGAACAGATGCTGAGCTTGGGTTCGAGTGTATGTGAAAGTCTTCTGTATGGTCACCAACAGCTGGTCCCTCAAAGATTCATTTATCAGTCTGCAAATAAAAACAATGTCAAAGCAGGTCAACCAACTCCTATTCAGCACACATTTCTGAGAAATATAGACCTCAAGAAGGAATTATGAGGGTTTATTTTAGATAGGAGTTATTTCTGTATTTTTCTCATAAAAGTTAGCCCACGTGGGATAATTTTAAAAGCAAGGCATTTAAAAATCTCAATTTTACTATTTCAGAACCTAACAGAAAAGTAGAAAGATTGATTTACATATTTTATTTTTCTGTTTTTCATATGGCATGTGTCTAATGCCCTCTTCCTCAAGTTTGTTATTGAAAAATACCTGGAATTAATCCCCTGCATCTTTTTGGTAAGAATTTGAGATAGTGCTGTTTTTAACAGTTCTGTATAAGTCTCCTAGCAGTACCGCAGGATATTTAAATTGCAGCATCATCTTTAATTGCAGAAATATAGAAGATAATTCATTAATAATTTTTGAACATTAATAAGCAGAAATAAGAGTTATGTTTTCCCCAAAATCATTTCATCTAGGAGGTAGCCTATCCAGTCTATGATTTAGGTATTCATTATTTATGTCAAGCTTTTGCTCTGTCACAGTAAATAGTAAGATGGTATCATATTGGCTACCTGATTAAAAGATAATTTTTGTGCTATAGAAGAATAAATGAAAACAGGAAAGAGGCATCATATCTAGTCAATGCTCAATTACATCTTGAATTTGAATTGATCACAACTAATTTTTAATTTATTACCCTGGTGAGAATGGGGCTTTCTCTATTAGCCATTAAATGGCATGGAAGGCAAACTCACTTTATTAATAACAGATACTATTCAAAATCAGGAAGACAAAACCGCTCTCAAGGACCAGTGGCAAAATTATCATAATTTGCCTAGTATTTTACAGATTACAAATTGCTTTCATAATTAAAAAGTATCAGCAACTCCTAATGGTAAAATAATTATCTCAGTTGCTAATTACAGGAACCCTATAGACAAAGGATTTGCTCTATTTCACAGGCAGGACATTTTAGCCAGAAAGAGTCAAATGTTTAAGTTCATGCAGCAAATAAGTAGGAATAGTCAGAATCAGAACCTAGTGCTTCTAAAGGTTTGTCCAGGGCTCCTTCCACCACACCATGCTGCCTCTGTTGCCTCTGTTTAAACCAAGTAGACCACACCACTGCCTCTCTTCATCACTGTGGCTATTCGAGCAGGTAGTTGAGGAGTTTTCCTCAACATGAAAGCAAGACAAACTTTATTGCTTAAAAGAAGGCAAGATGGGAAGCTGGAAGATATCTTCCTATCAGTGACCTGCTATGCTCCAGTATATGTGAGGTTCATCTGAATTCACTAGGTTGGATATTATGGTGGCCCTACTTTAAAGAGGATGGCATTCCCCATGACAGAACTATACCAACGATCCTGGAAGGTTGCTCAGCTGGATGGAGGATTGGGTCACCCCTTTCCTCAACTCCCCAGAGTGTATCTTCTGTATCAATAATATACACATTTAGGCTGGGCACTGTGGCTCCCATCTGTAATCCTAGAACTTTGGGAGGCTGAGGCAGGTGGATCACTTAAGCCCAGGAGTTTGACACCAGCCTGAGCAATACAGTGAGACCTTGTCTCTACAAAAAAATTAAAAAATCAGCTGGACATGGTGGTGCATGCCTGTAGCCCCAGCTACTGGAGATGCTGAGGTAGGAAGACCACTTGAGCTAGGGAGGCAGTGAGCCAAGATCATGCCACTGCACTCCAGCCTGGGCAAGAGAGCCAGAACCTGTCAAATGCACACATACATACATACATGCATACATACACACACATTTAGAAAAAGATGATAATTGATAAAAATAATGCCAGATCCTCTCTTAAGATTTTCTTAATTATTCTGAATGACTCTGTGTCCTTAGCTGTGGACCAGCTTGAAATCATTCATTTATTCATTCACTGTTTTTTCACAAGTGTATAGTGAAGGTCTACTTAGTGTCACACACCAGGATGTGCCAGGAACAGAGGAGCTATATATGCACTCCAGCCTTCAATGAGCTTATGTGCCAGTGGAGTAGGAAGACATGAATCAGCTATTCAACAGTGACTGTCAGTGGCAAAGAAATAGAGAAGCATGTGGCAAATGAATCAAATCTAATATAAGGGGTTCAGGGAAGACTTTTCTTAGGGAGTACTGTTTTATCTGTGACTTGAATGAATGAGCATCAGCATAGTCAGGGCTGGTGGGGTTGGGTAAGAGAATTCACAGCAGACAAAATGGCATGAATGGGCCTAGTTTGGAGAAAATAAAAGGTCAGAGAGCAAAGTAGAGAGGAACAAAATAGGGCTGCAGAGAGGGGTGAGCAGATCATGGGGGACTTTGAAGGTGATGTTATAGAGATTTTTGGTTTTATCCCGTAGACAATGAAAAGTCATAGAAAGATTTAAGCAGAAGAGTGGCATGATCACATTTGTATGGCCAATCAATTTTCTTGAAAAGTAAAGACATGCACCCTCAGACCTAGTCCTGTGTCTACCTGACAGGTAACCCAAGTGGATGAGTCTAGAGAGTTCTGCAGTATCAAGCGTCCATTGCTGTTGTACATGATTAACAACAGAAAGGATTCTCCTGATTAGCCACTTGATAGATCTAATCATTCATCTCCAGTTGTTTAATTCTGATAACAATTCAAAATTCGTTTTCTGTAACCAACCATCTGTAATAAAATCTCAGCTTTCCAAGGCCATTCTCTGCTTGACGGACCTGTCTGACACTTGTATCCAATCTGTCACTTTCTAAAAATTGAGGAATGATGTGCAGTTTAGCTGATTGTGGGTTTCAGTGGTTAGGAGAGCTGAAAGACAGTAAGAATTTGATCCTTTAGCCTAATTTCCCAGCTGCTGAAGTTGTGGCTTTGCCTAGATCATTTAGTGACAAGAACCATAGAATTCTAGAAGTGGAAGGATTCTCTAGGGTGTTTTCCAAAGTGTGTACCTATTACAGGTGGAACAAAGGTGATTTGATCCATTCAAAGCATAAAGTTACAGCAATTAAATATTAAATAACTGCTCCTCTTTCTGATTCAGTTTTTTTCCATCTTCTGATGGCATTAAGAAGAAAATCTCATTGTTAGTGCTTTCCTGCCTTTAACAGCTCCCCAACATTTGTAGAGCTCCCCTTTTAACAAAGAAATAAAAGATATTAGGTCTCATGCTTTTGGCAAAAAGAGTCTAATAACATCATTTTAAATAAGATCCCACAAAACACTTGATGGGTCTGTAGCACGTCATGGTTTAACACACACAATGGGCTTCAGAGTTAATCTCATAACAATCTATGAGGCAAGTGGGATTAATTTTGTTTTTCAGAAGAGAAAACTATGCCCTACGGAGGTTAAATGATTGGTGCTAAGTCATACCGGCTTGATGATCTCACTGTTTGGGTTGAGCCTATTGACTTCAGCCTTGCCCACAGTGTTGCTGTTCCTGATTGTATTCTATGTCTTTCATAGTTTCCTAGTCATCTGTTTTGGAGGTAAAAATTTAAGCTCATTTGTTGCAGGAAAATATCTTTTCTTTTCATATATTTAGAAAATATCTGAAGGAAATCAGACAAGTTTAGGGATGATAAGGAGGAACACTAAATGAAGATAATTGCAAAGTGCATTAACTAGTTTGAAGTGTCTATTTGCGGGCTGGGCTCAGTGGCACTTTGGGAGGCTGAGGTAGGCAGATCACTTGAGGTCAGGAGTTTGAGACCCGCCTCTACTAAAAATACAAGAATCAGCCAGGCATGGTGGTGTGTACCTGTAATCCCAGCTACTTGGGAGGCTGAGGTCAGGGGATCACTTGAGCCCGGGAGGCAGAAGCTGCAGTGAGCTGAGATCATGTGTCACTGCACTTCAGCCTGGGCAACAGAGTAAGACTCCATCTAAAAAAAAAGTATATTTGCTTTTAATTTTTCATAAACATTTGCTCTGCTGACCTAGATGTTTTCTGTTTGGGTACAAAGTCTTACTCTATCTTCTCTGAAGATCCTTTCTTGTTTTGTGACCATATTCCTTAGGGTATTTGGAAGGCTACTTTCTTAAAGCTATCATTTTCTAGTTCTTCCCATCTTTGTCTGTGTGACATTAGAGTGATTTAAAAATTTTTACTGTAATATTGAATCATCAGAAAAATTAGAGATGTGCCTATTTTAGATTTCTTCTTATGGCACTAGCATATTGATTGAAAATTCCTTGACATCAAAACATGGTTGTAGTATTATGTGAAATCTTTTTTAGAATTGAGTCCTTGACAAAGTGATCTTATTTATGGAAACTGTTAATTTGTGGCTCTGTATCCACCCATGTTATTTTTGGTACATCTCAAATTAGAGGATTTTGTGATAGGAAGTGTAGGCATTGAAGTGAGGCAGATCTCTATACTATGGCATTTGTATCTCCATTTAAATGCTGTACTTATGGTCTGGAGCTTTGTACATGACTCACAGAGTAATATAAAATAGGCCAGTGTTTAGCCAGTGCTCAGGGTAACCAACAAAATGCCCCACAGTTTGCTGTTAGTGTTCTGTTCAAATGCTCTCAATACAACCCACACATACAAATATTTTTCTCAGAATGAATTTAATTACCTGCAAATTACCTGCAATATTAGAGTTTTGTTCCTAGATTTAAAAATTAGGAAATGCATTTAGAATTCAATGGGACTTTAAGAGGTAATCTTAGGTTAATGACTTTCGAGGAAGAGCCCTTCCTGTGACTCCCATAGATGTTCTCTATTGGTTTATTCAGACACAATATGAGAATTTTAGCTATAAACTTGTTAATAACACCACAATTTGGCACTTAAAAGACATAATCACCCACAGAATATATAATTCTCTAAAGAAAAATGAAATTTTATCATTTGCTAGAAGCCAGAGCAAATTACTAAATGTTATATTAAGGGCACATTAAGTTACATGTCTTCCCTGAGGTCACAGAGAATAGTGTATTTTTTTCCTTCTGCTTTTTTTGTAAAAGTT